CAAACGGGCAGGCGAACTGTTCCACCTATACTAGGTTGTTACCCATCCAGAAAGACGTCATCCCTTAAAATTTCATATACACACACATCCCCTGTACCGAGTTATTGAGTTCGAAAATTTTCATCCACGGAATCATATTTTAATTTTTTTCACCCCTTCAAACGGGCAGGCGAACATCATCCCTTCTATCCCTCATGAAAATACACTTTAATTATATCACTTTTAATTGTTATAAACATATTTGTAGCATCGCCGGCCAAGTGTCTTAAGTGTAGATATTCTATCCCAAAAGTAGTTTACCCACGTCATAATTTGTGGATGGAAATGTGTGGATAACTTCACACAAACACTGTTAGGAGGTAAATGGTGAACACTTTGGGTACCTTATAAAATAGAATTCCAAAAAATATATTTGCTGTTTATTAAAACTTGTGTTCTCTCTTTTTTTATTCTGGCATAACTATTGATTTCAAATTTAAAATATCCAGAACATTCATAAAAAATAAATTTCGTTTCATGCATTTTTATCCTCTGAATTATCATTTTTTATTTTTTGTAAAACACTAATAATAAAGTTAAATCATATCCTTCACCTTGTGTTATTTTCAAAATAAATATCCATAATTTGGGACCCTTTTTCTTTTGTAAATTTGAGAGTAGTAAAAAGTTACTTTCGATAAGTTCTGTATCTTGAAAACGATTAATTTAGGTTTATGACGTACTATATGAATTTTGTTTAAAATTTCGAGGAGGATTGAGATATGGAATAATATACAGGGTGTTTCATTAAACAAAAAGCAATTTTGTTTCGTTATGACCTTTTGATTGATCCTGTATACTTACTTTTTTGTTATTGTAATAGATTAAAAAAAAAACTTAAAACCGTATTAAAATAAAATATCTACAGGCCAAAGACCCATTTATTTTAAACATCATTTCACAGGTGTGACAAATAACTACAGATTTTGTTGTCCGTAAACGCCAAATAAGACGAATTTGGAAAAGATTTCGTTAAAATGTATAAATAAATAGAACACCAGAGAAAGTACAAAACGAAGGTATATTACATTTCTTTAAGATGGAGCTATACTGTATAGATACATATTCTCTTTGAGCTTCATCTTCTCTCGGTAAAAGGAATCTGCAAGTTTCATTCTGTTATCAAATATTTAAAATTATATTAAATTTCCCTACCTACTAAGCCAAACGCCAGATACAAAACAATTATATCGTACTAAACAGATTTTGAGAACTCCAGTACACTCCATGCGCCTCTAATTAGCGCGATTTTCGTTTTTGCTTTTTAAATTATACCAACTTCCCAAGTCTAAAAATCACATTCTAAAACCGCGAGCCTCGATCCAACGTTTATCCAACGAGCCCCCAGCACTTCCTGAGTTCTTTTTTGATTCACGATTTCTATTGATTGCAATAAATTTTATGCAGCATCGAATCGCCCACGATGATCATTTCGCATGAGAACTTCCGAAATTGTAAAATTACGATTCAGATACAAAGTCAATCTTATCTCCTGATTCCGTACTAAATTTCCTCGCAAATAACAGAGGGTGGCTGCTCACTTGCTCACTTACAATTTTCCAATGAAATTCCAATTTCGGTAAAAAAAGGGTCTTCAAAATATATGTCGTTTATTATATATTATATACAGGGTGTTACAAATTAGTAGGTCAAGCAGTTAACCACACATTTTTTGGACTAAAATAATGGGACTTTTCTTATGCCGCTTTTCATTTCGGAACCCTATTTTCTAAATAGAGGGTGTTAAAATTAAAATTTAAAAAATGATTTTTATTGATAATTTTGGTGATTGTAGAAATATTTGTTTGATATTTAGCACATATTTTCATCTTATGTCGACACACTTTTTGTGTAATTTTGCTTTAAAATATCAAAGCGCCAACGGAGGGGAGAAGAGTTGGTGCAGTACCCATGGACCCCCTATTTTTTTTTGAGTGCGCCTATGCTTTCCGAATATTTTTTTAGGTAAAACGGCGTTTTATTCTGTTTTTTCCCTTTTGCAAGATTTTTATTTGAGGCCTCGTTTATGAGATATTGTAACTTTTTTGGATACGCGACATCAATTTAGTCGACGTTAGATTTTAAACTTTGGGATTATATGAAAAATCCTTTTTTACCAATACCAACTAAACAATATTTAAAGAAACGAATTATATGGGGTATTAGTATCACTGCCCTTGATAAAAAAATGTTTATTAACATCGATATATCGTTCTCCTTCCACTAATATTGACACTTTTTTAACAAATCTTAATAACTACCTAGAAAATAGCGATAAAACAGTAGATTTACATTTCTTTGTTGGTGACATAAATATAGATATTCTGCAAAATAGTAATCGTGATTCTGAATGTTACCTCAATGTATTTTCTGCGGCAGGCTTCTTATCAACCATCAATAAACCTACAAGGCTGGAAAAAACATGTCTGGATCACATCTTTGTAAAAAGTAAAAATATAAATTTTGTACATTATAGAGGCGTTCAAAAAATATCGAAATAAATTAAACGATTTGATAAAAATAACGAAGCAAAATTATTTTAAATTAAAAGTAGAGAAAAATAAAACAAAAAAAGAAGAACTGTGGCGTTGTATAAATTCTATTTGTGGTAAATATACAAAAAATAATTAAATAAATGAAATAAGAGATGAGGAGGGACATATACATAAAGAACATAAAAACATTGCCAACCAATTTGTGAATTATTTTACAGGTGTGTGTGTGTGTGTGGTAAAAATTAGCCGAACAGATAGTTAAACCTCATAATCATACTAATAACAATAAAACATTTATGCCTAATATCCACTCAATGTATTTATTTCCTGTTGAAGAGTATGAGATATTAAGTATTATAAGGGGTTTAAAAAATCAAAAAGCTCCAGGAATTGATGGTATTCGAGCAGAAACCATAAAAGAAGTAGCGGACAAACTTTCAGGACCACTAACTCATTTGATAAACAAATCATTTGATGTAGGAATATTCCCGGATATTTTAAAACAAGCTATAATAAAACCGCTTTTCAAAAAGGGTGACAAACGTGAAATGATTAATTACAGACCTATTTCGCTTATTACAACATTTACAAAAATTTTTGAAAAAACAATTAAAAAAAGGTTAGATAATTATTTAGAAAAATATAATATTATAAGTGAATATCAGTTCGGGTTCAAGGAGGCTAAGTCAACAGAAGATGCGTTATTAAGATTAACTACTCAAATTCATCAAGCAATTAACAATAAAAAACCTGCACTGTGTATATTCGTTGATTTAGCTAAGGCATTCGACACAGTTAGTCATGTGGAATTATCGCGTTTATTGGGAGAAATTGGTATAAGAGGAAAACCGTTAAGTTTGTTTGAAAGTTACCTAACAAAGAGGTTACAGTGTGTCAAAATAGGAAATTCATTGAGTGATTTCAAAGAAGTAGACTACGGTGTTCCCCAAGGTACAGTTTTAGGGCCATTACTTTTTAATATTTATATAAATGACCTGTTTAAANTAAAAAAATTTCTCCTTCCTTGGGCCTTCTACTCGGTTGATGAATATTTTAAACATTAATGTTTGTATTTAATTATTTTCTGTGACGTATCCTATATTAAGAATTGTATGATATACATACAATATCTTGATCTTTGGAATTAAATAAACAAACAAACAAACAAATAACTAACGAATTTATTCATGAAGCTCTTCACGAATTAGAACATGTTCTAATTTTCCTGAATTTCTTCGTGAAGTTCAGAAGTACCAACCCAACAAAAACTAATATTTATAAATACTGTCAAAACTGTACCGCTATTGTACCATTAGGTATATGCAATAAGGTATAAGACATTATTTTTAATGAAATTTGAAATTTATTTGCTATTTTGATTTGTTGGCAGAACTGATTTATGTGTAAAAAATTCACGAAATCTCTAGCAGTGTTAAACCAAACCCTTTATTAGTAAATTCGTTAATTAATTCATGAAGAACTTCGTTAATTTATTCATGAATAAATTGTCGATATAAAACAGCTATAAGAAAACAATTGTTTTATTTTTTTGTCTTACCAGTGTCTGAATTTACGGCACCTTTTTCAATCTTGTACATACAATACAAAGGTAGGTATGCAAATAATTTTTTTGTATCTTCATGTCATTAAGCAACAGTAAATAAATAAATAAATAAAAGTTACAAATAATTACATTAAAAATAATTAGTTTTTTATAAGCATAATAAACAACAATAAATATTTTTATTTTTTAACTTGGCTATAAAGGACGCGATCGGTATAAGATCAATAGACATTAACTAGAATCTTCTTAGGTAGATAATAATATTGTTTATTAGGTCTTTGTCTTTCTCATTTTGGATGAAATCTTAATACATATATGATAATATTTATTATTTGAGGAAAATATTATTAAAAAAATACTTCAGTCTTATTTTATTTCTTAATTGTAACATATTTTTTTTATTTTTAATATACTAGCTAATGCGTTATTTATCAATTGATTACAAATTAGGTTTTCTTTAATTGGAGAAAGTTGAATTTAAATATTATTAAGAGTTGCAAATCATTTTGATACTTGGTCAGAGCTCAAAATTGAAAATCAATACAATGACAGATTGCACACTGGAAATATGAAAATAATGTGTTCCAACAATAAGTTTGCGGTTATAAAAATACTTTTGCGTTCGAGTACTTTTGCGTTCGTCACTACTTGTTTTCACAACAGGATGTAAACATTATTTTAAATAGATGAGGTAGCTATAATTAAAATTTGTTTGTATTATTAATAATACTAATTTATTTGGATTAGTGACTAAGAAATGAAACATTTCATTACTTTTTTAGATATTTTAATGATTTCTAGAAAATTAGATTCGCGGAAAGAAAATAATGACGATAACTGCGTTGTGGTTACGATTAATTATTACATACTTCTTCTAATTACAGGAGATAATACTCTAACTTCTATAAAATAAATGTAATCCGCAATGCGAATGGTAGATCACTTTAGATACTGAACGTGCATAAGTGTCTTGGATTTAAAATGGGTGTGAGTTTAAAATGTGTAAGTTTTAATAAATATCTGCTACATATTCCTTAAAATTCAATTCAAATATCACGAATTATAAAAACAATTTTGTTCCCATTGTTTAAAATAGTTATTTAAATTACCATTTAATTTCTGTTATACGGCTTGTCCAAATGGAATAAGAATATAAAAATATACTCAAAGTTTCAAATATACGTTTGTGACAATAACTTTCATATAAAAAGCGTACCATTTGATTGTAATGAAAAATTTACTTCTTATTTTAAAAGTCAATTGGTCTATAGGTATAATTTATGGTACCTAATAATTGCTTATAACAAAATTGTTATAAGAGCTTTGTGAAGGTCCTACTTAATATGCAACAATTTTTAGAGAACATTGTAAATATAATCTTTCAAATTTTAAAGAGCAGTATGTATAAAACTAAATAGGGAAAGTAAATTGCTTTTACTCTGTTTTAAAGGAAGCTAATATAAATTAATCCTAAAAGTATGTATGCTGAGGAAATAACTCGTTCGTTAATAATTATGGCAATTAAAATAGAGAATCATCAATTCAAACGAAAAATGTAATTCTGAAAATACACATACTTTTCACATATATTTGAGGTAATGTTCGTATGACTGTCATATATCACTTGATTTAATTCTTTTTCTTTCTTTATGATAACTAATTAAAATTTGAAAACCTTAAATTTGCAGGTAGTACATTCTGCATCGAACTGTAGCTATTAGAATTTCTATTAATACCACCTATCCCAATATATGTTTGATTATAACCACCAAAGGAAAAAAAATGACTCTCGTCAACTAAAATATAGGTTATGTAGTTTCTGTAAATTTAAAACTTCTGATATTTAAAATCACAATATGGATAAAAAAATAATAAAATGGAGTCTCATTTTTCTAGTGACCTAACCAGTTACAAGGAAACAGAACAACTGAAAAGCGATTATTATTGTAACATACAGAACCTTTTACCATTTCCGAGATTCCATAGAATTGAATCATGTTGTATTAAGATGTTCAGTCTATATAACAAAATAATCGTACCTGTTTTTTTTTTCAGGTTATTTTTTTGGCCTTATTATTGGTGACTTTATCTTCAGCCAATCCCACAGTGAAGAAAGGCGGAGGTGGTGGTGGTGGTGGTGTTAAGGGTGGTGGAGGCGGAGGATCAAATGGGGGAGGATTTGGAGGCGGTGGTGGACATGGCGGTGGAAAAGGGGGAATTAAGAAAGGATGAAAAGCAGCAGAGGATATAAACGACTTCGGCAATAATGTATTTGGATAATAATTTAGATTATTAGTGTTATGTATATCAGTAGTAATGTAATTTAATAATAGTAGTGTTGTAATATATTACTTGTATTGGGAGAATTGTAGTGTTAAATAAAGTATTAGCAACAAAGATCGTAGTCTATATTAGAACGGGTATAGATAGTACAAAGTGTTTCTTAAAATATTGCAAAATTTATTAATCATCACTAGAAGGATTAAATAACCGCCTTTTTTAAATGGAAGTACTAAATTGATAAAAAATAATGTACGTAGTTATTGACAACATTAGGTGAAAATATTTTCTGCCTTAAGTACTTACCTTGGGTACGATTTTGAAGTTGCTTGGTATACAGGCTTTTAGAAATTCGCTTCTCACTACAGGGATCTCGGAAACGGTAAGAGATACGAAGTAGCTTAAATGGGGATAAAGTTGCATAATCAAGAGATCAAAATTATGCCTCTAAAAAATTAAGGCTAACACAATTAGTTTTCGAAATATTTAAAAAAGAACATAATTTTGGAAATCCGTTTTGTTTCATTTCTGCCTTGTTTGAAGTGATATTGAAAACAGAAGAACACTTTCTCATGGCAACGTTCTGCCCTCTATCGGATGGCATAATCAATATTTGTATGTAACGTTTTGTCTCTCCAAAACCATCGTCAACTTTATTTTTTTAAATACGACCCTGGAAATTTTATTACATTTTTTGCAAACCTTCATGACCCCCAATATTGTACTGCCTCAGCCCGAACTAGATTCAGACGTTTTGTATAGAAAAAATTCAACTTCAACATATTCATTCCAAATTTATCTTTCTTTTTTAGATTTCTATTTTTCTTGAATTATCGTACACTGTAAGTGTCGTTAGACCTGTGAAATCCACCTAGTTATTTAAACTGTTACCATCACACGTTACAATAAAACATTATTAGTGTTTTAATCCCGTGCTCATAGTTATTTCTAGGTTTATAGAGTACTCAAATTTCAAACAAATTTCGATCTAATTTTTTTTCAGGATATGAATACAAATATATCTGACATGCTCTTTCGCAGTTGCGGTTAAAGGTTTAATAAATTGCGATCATATTACGCTTATGTTAATTTTCAACATTTGCCAAAACGGAAATTTACTGTAAGTAAACTGAAATTTTAATAATGTTTTAGTTTTGACGCAACAACTTATCGAATTATGTATGACTAGGTGATAGAGATTAAGATTCTAATAATGTTTTATTGTAACGTGTGATGGCAATGTGTAGTTTAAATAACTAGGTGGATTTCACAAGGTCTAACGACACTTGGAGTGTACAATAATTCAATAAACATAGTATTAGGGGTCATGTAGGCTTGCATAAAATGTAATAAAATTTCCAGGGTCGTATTTAAAAAAATGAAGTTGATGATTGTCCTGGAGAGACGAAACGTTACATATAAAAATTGATTATGCCATTCGATAGAGGGCAAAAAGATGCCATAAGAAATCACCTCAAACAAGGCTGAAATGAAACAAAAACGGATTTCCAAAATTTCGGTTTTTCTCAAATAGGTATTTCGAAAACTAATCACGTTAGCCTTAATTTTTTAAAGGCATAATGTTGGTCCCCTGACTATGAAACCCCCATTTAAACTACTTCGTACCTCTTTCCGAGATCCCTGTAGTGAAAAACGAATTTGTAACAGGCTGTATACTATATATGTAGATACATAGGTATATGAAGAAATAGTTGTTTGAATTAATATTAGTGAATAGAATTTTACATTAATAATTCGAAATATTCTGTCCTTTGATGTGATAATACAAAACAATTTCGTTTCTGCTTATAATTTATATACTTTTTTTACCAACAATTGGTACCTATGTACATTACACATTGATCCTATACTATTAGTTAGGAGTTTTAATATCTATACAAACCAAACGATTTTCTATCGACGTGTCAGATAAATATACCAGAAAGTGAAATATGTTCTAATATTCAACTACGTAGGTATTTTGTTAGAAATTTTTTTTAAGAAATAATTATATTTATTATTTTTTCTTATTTTGAACTTCATATTATACTAGTTAGTATATGGAATAAATTTTAGAACTAATTTGATTTGTCTTAATACCTTTATAATAATTTAAAAAAGTAATAATACCTACATAATACATAACTAAAAAATTGAAGAATTGATTAATGATTCTTTACGGTAAAAATTATAATAAATTCCCATTATAATACCCATTTGATAATAAATAATATAAAACGAAGTATATAAATTTAATAATTATAATATATGCCTTGTTAATACGAGTTCTTTACAAACGCCACTAACAATAACAGTTTTTAGAAACAGATTTTTCTTTTTTTTGCATCATATTATTTACCATTATATCCACATTAATATCGATGATGCTATTTTGTTTTACTACGTAAGAAATATAATAACATTCATTTGTTAATATGTTAATATTAGTAGGCAATCTTGCTTATCCATCTCCTGTACTTTTTAACAATTTTAAGAATTACTGGAAAATACAAATTCCTATAGAAAAATTCAGTAGTTTGATGCGTAATAATTATTGAAAATAATATATAATTACGGTGAATAACTGACACGATGAGCTTCACTAAATTGGCTAGAGAACTATTTAAAAATTTTGCAACCGTCCAGTACTACAGATCATCTAAATATCTCAAAGTATATAAGTGTGGTTAATTTTGAAAATAAAATGTTTTGGGGTGTTGTTCTAAAAATCGTAAGTAACATATATATTAAAATATAACTATGGATATAAATGAATGATTTACTGAATAGGTTTAAAAATAATTTTTAAATTGCAGATTAAAAAAAAAATGAAAATTCATTCGTTCCCAAAGTTTTTACATGTTAATAAACAATTTTGTAATATGGAAACTCAGTTTAAGAACTAATAACAATTAAAATATGAAGTAGATTAATAATCACATACGCTAAAACTGAAATTAATAGATAGGTAGTGTATTAGGTATATTAGTAATACATGGTGTTGCGGAAATAAGCGTAAACATTTAGAGGATGATGGAAACTTAAAATATTATATGATTTTTTCCTATGACATCTGGGTCTATCGTCCTATGTTTTTGAAATACAGGGCGTCAAAAATAATTTGTTGGAATCAAATTTTAGCCACATATTTTCCAAAAAATCAATGCATTTTACTGGTATATTGGAAATTTGGTACACAAAAAGGATCCTCTTCCTCAAATTGACGGAAATCCACCGTCGATTTGAACGAACGAAATAATCGTCCTATTTTTTTACTGTTCTATGACCTAAATTTTTTGCAGTCATCTCCTCAACATTCTGTATAGTATATTTAGTAATTTTCCGCTATCTACACTATATCTAAAGTCTTTTGTGTAACTACATTTCTATTAATTTTCGAAAATATTTTTAGGCAGTCGTTTTGGCTTTGTTGTTGTCGATCGACACCAGTCCCACGTTTAAAAAATCTGGTGGCGGCAAAGGTGGAGGCGGTGGAGGTGGCGGAGGCGGAGGTGGGGGAGGTTACGCAGTGCAACCTGTAGTCGTTCAGCCTATAATCGTACAGCCTGTGAGACAACAACCTGTGAGACAGCCAGTTCGTCAGCCAGTTCATCAGCCAGTTCGTCAGCCAGTTCATCGACCAGTCCAGCAACATCCTGCGCCACAGCGCCCTTGTGGATGTAAAGGAGGAAGTCAGGGGAGCGGAGGAGGATATGGTGGTGGCGGAGGTTTTGGCGGAGGCGGAGGTGGAGGTTCTGGAGGTGGCGGTGGTTTTGGTTTTGGTGGAGGCGGCGGCGGCGGTTATGGAAAGAAATGATTATAATTACACTAGCAATACTAGTGTATACATATACAGGGTGTCCGGAAATTCATGCAACAAAATTTGGTCATAGATTCTTAAGACAAATTCAGGGGCCCACGAAAAATTGTCTTAAGGGGGTTCCCCGCCAAAAAACGTAGCACCATCAGATTCCACATATCATAAAACCCCTGGGTACCAAATTTAGTGATTCTCGTACAACAGGGTTCTGAGATATAAAAAAAAGATTATTCTTAGGGGCGGACTTCAGGGGGCTGTAACTCCGAAAGAGGGGGCCACTTGGCAAAAATAAAAAATACGGGTCCCCTAAATTTGTCTTAAGAATCTATGACCAAATTTTGTTGCATGAATTTCGGGACACCCTGTATATGAACCAACAAAGATTTTATAAACATTTTCAAATATTTGTATCTATACTTTTTTGTCTTCTTCCAGTGTATACATGTTCATCAGTACATTTATTATCAGTTCTACTATTTAAAGTAAAAAAAACGTAAAAAGTATCGCTCTTAATTTCGCTATTATTGTGGCTATGATTCGTGATTTATTTTTATTTATGACAGTAAATGTTAGAAAATAATTAAGTGCTTTTCCTGCCTTACATTAAAGTCAGTTCAGAAGTAGGTATGCTCATAGCAAAATTTCTAATTTCATAAAAAAAATATGAGGAGACTTAAATTAATAATTTGGGAAATGTGGGTTGAAAATGTTTTAAATTAAGCTAATTGTCAGGTTTTCCATTTCAAGAAAAATTAAACGGCATATTTATATATATATATTGAAATGAAATCAGATATGAGAGAACAAATCAAAATGTAAATCAAAGGTCTATTTAAAAGACAAAGCAGTAAATATGATGGTTTGAAGTGGTTATTATTTATTGTTGTTAGTATTGAATCAGTATTAGGAATCATATTCGTTACCGATATCTAATAAAAGTTAAAATGTTAGAGTATTTATAAATAGTTATAGTATATGGTATAATATTAAGTAGAAAAAAATATGAAGGGTCAAAGATATGTCATAATTTGGTAAAATCAATGTGTCAAAGAAATGTCAAAAATTTAAAGTGTTATTCACATGGAATCAAGTAGTAAAGAGAAAAGTAACATAAGAGTAGAGAATAAGAAATATTTTGAAGTGGAATGTAAATGGAGATTGTTAAGAAACTATAATAGGATAGAAGTGTAAAGGTTAAGTGAAGTGAGGTGAGTGAAAAAGAAATAAAAACGGCAAGTAAAAAGAAAGCAGAACGAGATATGTGAAGGAACCTTAACAGAGGAAAAACCAAAATCAAGGTAGTGAGAAAAAAAA